GTCGCCAAAGATAACAAGGACAATGTTCCAGGTGGGGTGAAACGAAGAAGATCGCCGTCCCTCCACGCCGCGACAGCTCGTCCTGCGAGAATACCGCAACCCCCGGTTTCAAACGTAAACAAAGCCACAAATCCGCCCACAAGGCCGGCTCCAAAGGCGATCGTTGATGTTCGAAAAAACGCGCTAGCTGTCTCCGAGCCGGAGCCTCCACGACGGCTGGGTCGTATGCTACAGGCCCTGAACACACGGAGACAAAGCCAAGTGATCCTTTCCTCATCTTGCGACTCTGCAAAGTCTTCGGTACGAGTGGCTTTCCCCAGCGAGCGCCCATCATCTGTGGTGCTCTCTTCCCGCGCAGCTTCCCCTGTAGCAACATCGGAAGCAGCTCTTCAGGATGAAGAGGACGAAGATAATACCATTCATCCACCCGCCAAACCGGTAGTTGAGAAAAAGGAGGAACCTGCTCCTTCGCGTCCATCCTCAGAACCGGAGACCACCGAGACACCAAAGCCAGAAGTTCGACGCCCTGAAGAGCTTTTTGAACAGATGACGGATGGAGACTGGCTATATGCACCACCAGAGAAGCGTATGGAGTACCGAAAGGAAGTAGAACGTGTCGCAAGCACTTTTAAGGAGGAACCTGATCTAGATGACCCTACTATGGTGGCAGAGTATGCAGATGAGATTTTTGAGTATATGGCAAAGCTTGAGGTACAAGTCTTCTTGCTGCTTCGCGTGCTTTTCCTAACCAAAATTTCGTCTACAGGAGGACTCCATGCCACGACCTGACTATATGGCGGGTCAACAAGAAATTACTTGGGAGATGCGATCCACCTTGGTGGATTGGCTGTTGCAAGTGCACCTCCGCTACCAAATGCTCCCGGAAACATTATGGATCGCCGTCAACATCATTGACCGGTTTTTGTCCAAGCGCATTGTTTCTGTGGTGAAACTGCAGTTGGTAGGGGTGACTGCCATGTTCATCGCTGCCAAGTATGAAGAAATCATCGCTCCGGGAGTAGACGAGTATGTGAAGATGACAGAAGGTGGATATAAACGGGATGAGATCCTCAAAGGAGAAAAGATTGTCTTGCAGACCATCGACTTCCGCATCTCGACATACTGCTCACCTTATTCTTGGGTCCGACGGATCTCCAAAGCGGATAACTACAATCTGCAAACTCGCACTTTATGCAAATTCCTCATGGAGCTCACTCTCTTGGACTACCGGTTTTTGAGAGCGAAACCGAGTCTCATCGCAGCCATTGGCATGTACAGTGCCAGGCGAATGTTGGGACAGGACTGGGTGAGTCAAATTCGACCCTAGTGTTGACCGTATGCTGATCTTTTCCTGTAGAACGATGCTTTCATCTTTTACTCTGGGTATGTGGAGGAAGAGCTGCGGATGGGCCATGATTTCATTGTCGAGACACTCGTCCAACCCGAATTCGAAAGCCAGTACATTTACAAAAAATACACGAGCCGAAAGTTCCTCAAAGCCTCGTTGTACGCTTGCAACTGGGCGCAAGAACAGTATCAATCACCACGAAAATAGTGTGGACAAGACAACTTTTTAGAAGACCGGATATCACTCTTTGAATGATACACTAGACAAGGATACGGAATCTGCGACTACCTGATGCAGTAGTATCGTGTCTCCCTCAGGGCTATCTATCCATCATCCTTATAACATCCATGCTTCTCGTCTTGTCAGCGTTCTTCCCCCAGTGCAACCATGTCCTCCTTCCCCCACCCATTGGCGCTATCCACACTACCCAGTACCCTAGAGGCTCGTAGGGAAAGAGGACCTTTCCTTACCTGATGATCCCAGTAATTCCCATGTTTCCTCCCCTCCCCCACCCACAGTACTCGTTTTAGCTTTTGTATGTATTGCGCTCCTCCCCCCTGTGTATTAGAGCATTTGCAGACATGAATATGAATATGAACAGGAAGAATTTCACCCTGACAACGATGTCTCTCTTAAGAGTCGGCGGGTTTAGCTTTCCCGCCACTACCCGGGATTCGACCTGCACAAAACCTCTCCTCGACCAGGCCACCCAAAAATCCAGGCAAATCAAAACTTCTGAAAATAAATCGTTTATTCTACTTGACTGTCTACTATGGACACAAAGTGAGGTTTATTCGCGTTGCCCAAGATGGCAGGGTCACCGCTTTTCTATCGGCCAGGTGCCAGCAACAAGGTGCTGGCTGACAAGTTGACAGAAAAGTGCCGTCTATATAGTCTATCTCGTCGTTTAGCCCTCCGCTGGAATGATTTCTCTCCACCATGACCAGCTACCACCGCCAGTCCCGCTCCACCGTGTATAGCGGGATCCCCCAACACGACGTTGCTGAAGATGGCTACACGATGAACACTTTCAGAGGAAGCTCATCATGGAGATCTACGCAGCATTTCAGCGACACCTCCTCCACTCCTTTTCTGGGAGACAGCCGCACAGAAAACCACACAGAAAAAGCCTTCTCACGGATGGTGACCTATTACAGCCGCGG